GGGTAATGTTCACTATGAGTATTTACCAATACTAAGGCCTCTGCAGGTATATTCCGCAAGAACTTTGGACTGCCGCCATTTTGTAACGGATGAACCTTTTTTGACGCGGTGTACTGTGAACTTAGTTTAAACAATGTCCTTCTGTATCTATACGCAACCAGAATTAATAGTGCCTATGACTATGTCATATTGTCACATAAGTGGTGGCAGAGAAGAGGGCTAGTGGTAGGGTGGAGGGGGGGGGCGCGAAAAAACGTCAGCCTACTGGCGACTAGAGCCTCAGGCCCTGTTGAAAGCAGCGAGATACTAATCCTCAATTCAACCACTATCCTCAGTACTTATAGAAATTCAAGCCCTCAAACAGTTTGTTTTTGTATGTGTTTTTACGCAAAAGCCACTGTTTTAGGTTTTTTTGTGTGTGTTAAAGGTCATAACCCGTTCGTTCTAAACCCTAGTCTCATTAATATCCGACGTCGTCTATTTTTTTAACTATCAATTAATTAGTTGTCCAATGACAAATAGAGGTTCAAAATTGTTCCGGATTGAGCCCAACAATCCTCATATTTGAAGGCGAGCTAACCACTCGGGTACCCAGACAATTCGACTAATACCATAGAACCTCCAGGAGTGACACAGTACATCCAATGACTTGCACCAGAACGTCTCAACTTCTCGGAAACGGAGTGTCAGATCCGCTCCAGTGACCGGCTTCCTGTCTCAGCCACAGCCTCCTGCATCTCGTCGCCACTCGGATGGTCGCGTCGTCACCGCCATGGCAGAGGCTGTCACGCATCCGTCACTCCTTCGGATCAGTATGACGTTTTTCTTTAAACAATACCGTTTCTGGGAATCACTTGTAAATGTAACTGTCTGCAATGTTACACCGTGATGTTAAGGTTAGTGGAGTGTGAGGTCCTAGAGTAGTTATGGTGAGCTCTCGGACTCTACCACTCTATTTTATATTCACAACGAAAATGTGCTAAATACACTGTGGCTGCTGCTAAGGATCGGCCTTTCCTGGCTTCCGCATGATGAGGTCAGATTCATAATCAAATCTAGGTAGCAGTAATGTCATTATGATGTGGTTAGGTGAAGTACCGTTACATTAATTACCATCGGTGGTCTGTGGATTCAGATGGACCTGTTTGAGGTCGAGTGAAGTAATTTGAGGTTTCTTTTTAGTGAATTTCTCATGTAGGAAATAAGCTATAACCGTAGTACTCATGATAAGACCTGGACACAGGACCGATTTACTTTTTCGTTTTGAGGTCCCCCGAGGCCAAAACACCCTCCGTTCAAATTCATACTGGGTGTCCATAAAAAACGGTTCAGGACTTTGGGAAATGAATCCTCATACTAAAAGGAAGAAAAACCTTTATGTGAAGGTATGTCCGAAAATGCATATTTAACCAGTTATCCGCCATCAGCAGATAACTGAGCCCTGTTGCGCTTTCAGAGTTCAGGACCATTTTAGGCCAATCGCGTGATCTCCCAGTCGCCGTCGTATTTATTGGATACATAGCGAACTGAGAAGTGTTTTTAAGTCGAACTTTGAATTAGTACGTTAAGTTTTCTTTTAGTTGTTCATTGTATATGATAAGTATGGACGATGGTGAGTCGCTTGGCTGCCTTAGAGATCCCGCAGAACTTTCCAATACTTTGTTTCAACGAACTTATACTCTGTCCATTCAAATTTCATTCCAAACAAAAGTTTTCACGAACCATCGACTCGCAAGTAAACTATATCTTTAGGGTTGGTTTTGGTCCCACAGTTGTATACAGCTAATGATGATGTACTTCAAAAATGTTTCGTTCTTTCCTAGTTATCCAACGAATATAATTTGATTCGCGAAGGCTGGTTTGACCTTATTTGTACTTCGCTAAACGTCATCATCAATGTAAAGTTGTTTGCTCTGTTATTTTGCTGAACCATAAAGTAGATTTTGTAAGGCGTGTAGGACCGAAAGTCCGTCGAGTAAGGGATGCAGACATCTTCATCAGTCCAGTTGCATGTGAAGGTAAATTGACATGTAGACTTACTCGGGGGTGAGTTAAAATCTTTGGACTCGGAAGCGTCCAACAAAAGAAGGAGACACAACTTCAACATTTGCTTAGCGAATGTCGATTTTTCTCCTCTGGTGGCTGTGATATCAATCCAGGTTCGTCTACAGAGAACACGGTTCAAACCGAGGAGAATAATCCACATGCAACAAACAAATGTTGAAGTTGGTCTCCCTTGTATGTCTATTGTTGAAGATACCAGTCGCTGACGGATTCACAAGGTAAAATCCTCTCCATCGAAAAGGTCCTACATCCCACGTTAGATATTTGGTGATGTGGGAATCTATTGACGTTCTCACTAAGGAGGTGTCACCTTCTACTCTATAAGCTTCCCATTTGAAAGAAAGGTTCTGATGCAACTGTTTCTCAGGAACTTTAGTTCTAGTGACGTTTTTAACGTAGTAAATATTAGCTTTTGAACTAATGTCGTCCACGTACTTATACTTCTTAATAATTTTCAAATTATGACCGCAATCCGTGAATCGAATGATGGGAATGTCCTCGTAGTTCTTTGGATAGTTTAGGTGGTAAAGACGGACGTACTCTGACATTCTTGTGTGGTTCCAGTATGGTTCCATTTTCATTTGTCGCGTAAAAGACATAATCTTTTCCCCAGGTGGCGTGGTCTAATCAAACGGGATTATGTAACTAGCCACATACAAATCAAGGTCGCTGGTCGAGCGTTTGATAAAATCACACAACTCATCAACTTCACTCCTGTCTATTGTGTTATCATTTACATATCCAAAATTAGATTTACAAAAGACCAACTAAGTCTCTCTGTATAGGGACACCTCAGTTTCTATCGGCGCTACGTATCCTCCGATCACGTCGTGCATTATCAGCGTAGGTTTTCTAAAATCCTTCATCATGCTTACTAGCAGTTTAGCTGGTAGATTGAAATACACTTGTAACTGGGGAAAGAATTGAAACCCGGTTGGGTAGTAAACCCCACCTTGTCTTTGTATCTGTCCCCGTAGTATCCTGTCGGATGGCTCCAGTTGTCCATACAGAGACAAACGCAGTCCCCAGGCCCCGGGTACGATACGAGCGGCGAGCGGCGAGCGGCATGAGCGGCGCCGCTCTGACATCGGGTCTAATTTAGTTGCGTGTAAATTTGTTGAGGGTGGCCACGATACGTCTGAGCGGCGAGCGGCGGTGAGCGGCACCGCTCAGCGCCGGTCATGGTTCCAAGTCAAAACCGATTTTCGCGAAAACGCCGCTCGCCGCTCAGGTAAGTCATGCTTTAGCTCGGCCTAAAATGACAGGGAAACAGCAGCAAACATGCTATACGAGTCGATACGTGAGGTGCAGTCCAGGTAATGTTTGTGGAATGACCAGCAAGGAAGTTTTAAAACACTTCAGTCACCAGAAAAGTATGGAAAAAAATTAGGGTTAAGGTTTTTCTAAAAACTAAGTTTTTCTTTAAAGGCAAACAATTGTCAAATAGCAACAAAAGTTGCAATACGTCTTGCAGGTAAGCATAGTTTACCATTTTATACTAAACTAACTCATAAAACTTGGGAAACTTGATGAGCGTTATAAATGTGCCGCTTGTATCGTAGCCACCACCGCCGCTCACGTGCCGCTCAGGTTGCCGCTCGCCGCTTGCCGCTCACCGCTCGCCGCTCGTATCGTACCCGAGGCCTAACCCTCGTATTGCTGGAAACCCTTCCGAGCAATCTCATAAGGCCATTTACATAGTTTCTCATTGCAGTTCTTCTTGTACGAGCAAGGCAACTTGTCGTGGAAGAGTTCCTCGTCAACAAGCGCGCAAATCTGATCAGGCTTACAGTATTTACAACTCACAATATCTGTAGTATATCCTGTGCAATACCTATATGTCATGCGTGCAGGGGTACCCAATATCAGAACTGTAAATAGCTACAAACCTAAGAGCACACAGAAAGATAGTTGTCAACGTTAAAACCATGACTTCAAATAGATTATTTTACAGTCTCCAAAACATGTTTCTACGCCTTTTGCCAACCGTCTAGTCAGCACACACTCCCATTGATTCCAAGGTGCTCAGTATTCCAAGAGCACGCCCGGAAACCATCGTCGGTATCAGTCCCTCACCCGGAAGCCATGACTTTCTCTCTGAAAAAGGAAAGACGAAGACGTTAACGCATCTAACTGTAGAACCAACATCGGCGTTCCTTGAACGGACGTTAGAGAGACTTTAGATATGGTAGAATTGTTATTTCTCGGGAAAGGCAATAGTTTTTTGTAGACCTACTGTAAAATTTGGTGGATTTTAAATATCTACGGCTGATCACGCTTTGTCTCCCGGTTGTCATCCCTGATTCACTCCCAATTAACGCTACTATTAAAGTTAACAGTAGTGAAGTAGAGACGGCCAGAGTTCTTGCAAAAAGTTCAAAGCACTGAAGAGCTGCTGTTTAAAATCATTTTAGTCTGCCTGTAGGAGCGATGACCTTTTCATGGACGAGTGTCATATGTGCGTTTAGTTTAACGATTACAGCGTGACAATAACATTGGTCGCATTCGTTGAAAACATTGAGAAATGGATGCTATCTCAGACCGTGCCATGTTGTGGGTAAGGTAATTTTCATATTTAAATGTTATTGTTCTAATCTATTATGTCAATATGTTCGATGTGAATTTTTCATGATGGAGATACACTTTCCATCAATAAAAAAAGCTCGACCTAAGATAGACCTATACACTTTTTTATGGTGGAAGATGTCCGTTGGCCACCTTATATAACTGATCAGTTTTCGGAATGGCCTCAAGCCTTGCTTTCATTTGTTTGCGAAGGCATGTATGCACGGGTAAAGGTATTAAGATTCAGGTTAAAATAAAATATCGTTACCTTTAAAATGTCGTTCATCCCTTTCTTATATTATGATTCTCCTTTCTCACTTACCACTGACTGTGGTGTCCCAGTCATGTTCAAGACTTGCTCTTGTCCCCAGGTCCGAGGCCGAGCTGCAGTACTCCAAGACGTTGTCCAAGCTATCTGCCAAACTGCTCAAGTTGACCAAGGAGTCCTCCAGTAGTACCAACACTGCTTGGCAACGCGCCGCTGTCGAGATGGACACACAGAGCGAAATACACAGGTTTGTCACTTATCTCAGGTTATATGTCAAAATATTGTATATGCTTACATTTTGTAGTACATTGTTTGAGTCAGTTTCAGCTATCCTCATCAATATTGGTTACTAATACTGTACGTGTATTTTTTATCTACAAGAATGCACATTTTAAAACTTTGGGCAAACCTTAGATTGATACAAGCCATGGCATTAGTGATGATTTCCTTTCTGTATCCTAAAGATATAATTGAAGAATATTACTGAAAGCATTTTCCCTGGCAAGGCTTTCGAAGCCATTTAATTGAGAATATAATAATAATCAACCGCATTTTTTCTGTTAATTGACTATAATTGAATGGATGCTGTCTCGATTAGGTGTTCGTTCTTCTCAGCTGATCGCCGTGTAATTAAACCAGCTAATATTTACAATTAAACACCTGACTCCAATCTACCTTAATGATGGCGTCCTTAGTGATCCTTGTGCCATACACGGTTGATTGAATTTACTTAAGTCGTTATTGTATGACCAATCACGGATTCAGTGTCACATTTAATTGCTAAATATCATTTACCCTAAAAAAGGAAATAAATTGATAGTTTATGCCCTGATGATGTTTAATATTAACTACTCATTTTGTTATGTGGTGCATCATTCAAAATTACATAATCCGAACTCAAAATAACAAAATTCAAATGTTTCGCCCCATTGTTTCCAACTACTCCTTGCGTTTAATAAATTCAAATAAACACCTACTAGTTCATTTATATTTAACAGACATTCAAATGTTTCCAGTATTAAACATGGCGGCCCACACGGTCGTGGAAACACAAATGAAGACGTTTTTCACTCTCGTTCTCCCACGGAATGTGGTGGGTTGGGGGAATAAAGTATTCAAGAATTTGACTTGATTGGCTGATCAGCACGTTTCTTAACTGATGATCGGATGGATAAATCCATGATACGACTATTGTGTTTTGGTCCAGGGTCGTTCGTAGATTTTATTCATTAAATAAAACAATTACAGCTACAGGATGCTTATTTATAAGGCATGAACAATCACGTAGACATGAGATGTTAAATTAAACTCACGTAATTTAACAGACCTACACACATAATTACACTTAACGCGTATTGGTACAGCGTTCACTAGCAATAATTGAAATATTTCCTTGCACAAACGCCAACCAGTGCGAAAAAAAGATAACCTCAAAACCACGGAATCAACCTAAAAAGTGATCCAAATAAAACAAGTTGTGGCAGCAGGTTGCTGATTGCGACAGATTGCAACATGATTACACAACAGATGAACCGTGCAGACTACTTGGATAGTTCGGAATATGTTCTCCGCTGCCGTATTTTGGAAGACGACGTATTGTTTGTTGTATTTGGCAAGTTTAAGTGGAAGGGACTGGAGAAAGGAACACAGCGGCGTTGTTTACTTTCGCAACAGTCTCGTCCGGAATTCTAATATTTGAAGAGTTGAAGAGTTGTGTATTTGGTTGAGTGTTGGACAAAAGTGCGTTGTTGACGGTATAGATTTGATGACAGAAATGGAGAGGTGTGTCTCTTACTTTTACGGTTTATTCTCGTGAAGCGTTGATTCACAAATTTACATAATTTTCTCGTGTCACACTTTTTATCTTATTCCAATAGTTATGTTATTTTGAAATGGTGTGTTAATTTGCACTAAATCGCTGCACAGTACATAACCAATGTGAAAAATATCTGTTATCCATTTAAATAAGTCAATCTGTAGTAAATATAGTCAACAACACCAACTTTTGTGTGGTCACGTGATATTTGTTTTTAAGATGATTTTCCTTAACTGCCAAAATGTTTCATTATGCGTTTAAACTAGCTGTTCTGAATTATATTCAGTAATCGACTAACTACCTGATTCCTGTACGTAGGACGGGCCAACAGCTAGTTTATTAGAATTCTTTATAAAAGTTATTTATCAGGGAGAATTACTAGTCTTATTAATCGGTTAGGGGCCGAAGCAAAACGTTAGGTAAAATTTACCATTTCCAGCAACCAAAACCAAAGCCTACTTCCCGTCTCTGGCAAATCGGAACTTTTTGTCGCCCGAAAACGCCCGTCAATCGTAATTGAACTGTGCGTTGGACTTTGAATGCGTAAACGAGAATTCGCAACAGCAACAACCTTGGACACAACAATGAGGGACAATCTGTGGAGTGGGCGGCGCCGATAATGATACGGGACGTCAGTGACAAAACCGGTGGCTTGGAGATACATTACAGTTACATTAAGGTTGTGCATTAATTGCGCCAAAGCGTTCCTTAACTGCGGTAAACCCTCAAAGGTCCCCAAAAAATGTTCCTTAGTTGCGCCAAGCCCAAGCCAGGTGCGGGTAAGTTGCCGGCAGAAGGAATGTCCTTGTTTACGTGTCATACTATCCTAACCTAACCTAACTTAATCTAACCTAACCTACACGAACCTAACTTCCTAACCTAAAGTAACCTTACCTACTCAATTCAACAAGGGCCGCCACTTGGAGCAGTTAAGAATGGATGAATGAATGAATAAATGTATTGTTTAAAAACATTGGTTACAAACTGTGCTTATAAAATAATATATATATAAGGCATTTTCAATTCTTATGGTTTTGGGTTTCAATGCTGTACTGTATGTTTTATTTTCAATATCTATCTATATATTAATAGGCAAGCATGTTTCTTTAAAACCTTTTTTCTCAGCTCGTGTGCATCGTAGGGAAAATCTACGCATACCGTTAGAAAGCTATTTTCCTGTATGTGTGCAGAATCCCTTTATAAATTTAAATAGGCTCAAAGATAAGCGCAAAAAATTAGTTTAACAATTTGAAAAAATTTACATGGATCTTATGCGTTGCCATGCTGGTGACGAAATAACAACGAAATATAAACAGAAAATCAAAACAAATGGAAGAAACTCCAATCACATGTTTTATTTACAGTGTGGGGTGAAACATTAACATAAGTGAGTACATTACATATTTTTGGTCGAGTTTCGACCACTGGACATTACTCGTTTTAATAAATGTATGTTCATAAATTTAAATAATTAAAGTGCGAATTAATGAGCTGATGTCACTGATCACCTGTCTGCCATGTTATCCTAGCGACGTTGCCAATTCTACCAGGCCGTGGCCTGGAGTTAAAGGTAACCGTGAATGTTATAATATTCAATACTCTGTCCTTACTTCTTTACTTTATGTTACAGATTGTTAATCACATTTCATTTTGTTTATTTATTGATTGTTTGTACATAACTCATAACATGTTTGAAGTGTGATTCTTTGGTGAATTTAAGCCTTATTCTGTTCAGCAGGTTACTATTCTCATTTCTGTTACACCTACAAAAAATATTTAAAAACATAATGGCTGGATGAACACTAATGAGTCAAAGGGGTGCCATTTTTCAACCAATAAAAGTGACATCATATTGCCTATGTATTTTGTGGCAATGTTTAGATTGGTTAGACCATTACTGCATAATTTATTTCCATTTCTCTTTTATGCATCCCGGTATGAAATAAATCACAGCCGTAGACACATTTGGACTACACACTGATCAAGCTCTAGGAAGTGTGACGTCAGTCTGATCGGGAAAGGATATTATTGATGAGAAAAATACGATTTAAAGCGATTACAGTCATTCAGTGCAGAAACATGATCAACTTAGCATATGTTGATCATAACACACAGATTTATATCACCTGCAACTGCTTTTTTATAGCCGCTCAATATGTTGCAGGGTGTTTGCAACGGCGTTGTCTGAAGAAGTTGTGAAACCCCTGAAGCAGCTTCTGGAAAACCAACATAGAACGCGAAAAGCTGTAGAGACTGCAGTAGACAAAACAGGTTGGTTGGGAATTGACTTCATATTAACACAAGTAATAAATCTTTAATAAGTAATATTTACAAATATTAAGTGTCTTTAAATCACGATACTGTGTCTGAAATACATTCTTACAATAAATAAAAGACTGATGCCAACATATTTAGTTGATTTTGAAAGTAAATTAGTGTTATCTGAAACCTTAATGCAAACAGTATTTGCAATTGATCAATATTTTAATTATTAAACAACCAGAATTATTCATTATTTCCAACCAGATTTTCTTAGTGGTTCTGGATTACACCAGCCACCAGCCCATAGCATAACTCTTCCTCATGTAGGTACGTCACAAGCCCACATATCAGTTGTATAGGTAGATATGACTAACGTTGCCTAACTGGTGTGGCCTTGAGCTATGCAATGGTCACTTGCTGTTTGTATAGCTAATTCATGATAATGTTTCACTATACGTTCTGTTGAATCTCCGCAGTTTTATAGCACTGTTGGTGTTGTTTTACATCATCAGAAATATGAATACTGTTTAGTAATTTTTTATGGTTTTACATTTTTTGATTAAATTTGAGATTCCAACATAGGTAATAATCTAAATCTCAAAAGGTTGATTTGAAATTTGGTTAACTTTCAACATTCCTGCAAATCTATTTCCCTTATCAAAATCTTCTTCCATGATGAACGGCTGCCATAAGAATTTTTAACTGACAACCAAATAAAATAACTCAGGATTTGTCATGTTTTGATAAATTTGTAAGCTTGATGATATTTTTTTATTGACCCGGCTACCCTTTTAATCATTGTTTTTAACCCTAAAGTATTAGCTGGTCTCAGCTAACAAGATCTTAGCCCTATCCCAAGCTCAACTCCCACTCAGCTCATATCAGTCAAAGTTGTGTCACTGTCTAATGTATCCGTAACTGTCCTAGGCAAGAGCCTCGCTGAGTGGCGGTCAGCAGAGTGTAAAGCCAAGAAGCAGAGCTTTGCGAGCGCTCGAGAGAATGAGAAGATGCAGGACGCTATGTTGGACGTCAGGATCGCAGGAGTCCAAAGTCCGACGGCCTCCACGTTACATCTCCACAGCACTAAGCTGGTGTCGGACAAAGAGAACGCCAAGGTAGGCTGTCGGCAATTGTTTAGTCATTGAAGCCCTAGACTTGGGCAGATAAATTTGTTCTTGTAACAGAGTTAACAATACTGGGCACTTGGAAAATCACGTCATGTTTTTAAGAAAATCTAAACTTTTGTACGTTATCCTACAATTATTTTGTTAACTTACAATATTCTTGTTTGATGTTGGTAGACAAACTACATGTTTCTGGCCCGACCAAATGTGTGCACACACCGCGACAGTTGATCAATGAAAATGAAATTTTATGTCTTTTACGTGTGTTCTGTGTTTTCTATTTTAATTTTATGACAAACCTGAGAAGAGGATAAACATGTAGTTTGTCTACCAACATCAAACAAGGATATTGTAAGGTAACAAAATAATTTTATTAATATAAAGCAATATCCTGAAGTAAGACTATGAATTCTGAGTTTGTGGATTAATATTAACTTAAGATCCCTTTGTACTTGAGTGGTTATTTAAGCCCTTGGCTCACCTAACAATCTAAAAGCTGCTGGGTTAAGCTCCTGAGAAGAGTCATACACTTTTTGATCCTCCGAAACTTGACCCAGTTCTCTTTATTTATTGAGAATTCAATAAATATTTGGGTTAAAGAAAAACTGATCTGGTCAGTAACAAAGCTAAATACCCCCGCCACAGCAAACCTGCAGACTAAGCGAATTTCTATTAGCCTGATTGGATTTACACTAAAATCCCTCCTTAAAAATATCACATTTATTCCCTGCTATTTAAATAGAATTAGTTTAACGAGTACTTAGGTTTGCTGCAACAGGGAGGTTAAAAAGGTGTTTTTTTTGTAAAATGTTAATAGTTTAGTATGAAATGAATACATTTTCCAAATTTGATCAAAATATGTTCATAAACAAGCAAACTACAACAGTTTATTTATTCTCCATAAGAATAACATGGGAATTTTAAAATTACAGATTTTTGGTATTTTCTCTGTAACCATTAGGCGCATAATAACGCTTCAATATACAAAATTATTTCTTTTTTTAAGCTCTACAAAATGGTTTGAAAAGGAATTGCTAAATTTTAAGTTTTTAGGGTCAAAAATGGGGAAAACGTATTTTTACCCCATAAAACCCCCCATAAACCCCCCACACCCCATAGTCCCATAGTTCCCATAGTCCGATCATGCTGGTTCGCGAATCAAATAAATGTAGGTTTACACGTTTGTACCAAATTTCATCAAAATCGGATCATTTTTGCTCGAGTTATCGCACTAACGGACACATATCAATATACCTATATGAATTTGAACGGATGGTATTTTTGGCCTCTGGGGACCTCAAAACGAAAAAGTAAATCAAAAGGCATCTCTTTCCACAGTTGTCTTACATTTATATTTGGGCTTAATTATTCCGCGATTGAGTCCTCGCAGAAAAAGAAGTGGATAAAAAACTTAGATTTTTCCCACATTGCATCTTGATCTGAATTACATCATTACAAATATGACATCCATAAGGATGATTGACGGTGCAACTAGGTATTTTTCAATTGATTTATACACTATGTGAACAAAACGCAATATAATTAAAATGATCAATCTATAATAAACACCAACAGTTAAAGATCCATAAACATGGCTGAAAAAAAGTGATATGCAGGTTTTTGCCACAGCATCGTCAAAACGCTGTTGCACACTGTACATTGCACAGGTGAACATTCAACACCTGTGACCCATTTGACAGCCTTCAGTTAGGCCGTTGACTATATTTGCTAACCATTATTTCACAAGTAGGTAACAATTATTTTCATCAACTGTTGAACAAATTTCGATGACGATAAATATGTAGCCTACAGTTTTTATGTTTTGAGCTTATAACTTGAAGTTGTTAAACAAGTCTGTCTACTAAACATTATTGTAGACAGCAGCAAATTTTTACCACACAGTAAAAGGGTGATCCGTATCAACCAATCAATTTCTTTTCTTTAAACCTAGTATATTGTGTAGTGTGTAGGTTTTCACTAACTTCTGTATTGTGAACTTGTGAAGAACTGTATGTTGTAGAGTGAAAATTTAAAAACTTACGTTTTCAGGAAAAGCACTTTGCAAATTTTTTTCCCCTTTTTTCAAAACTTTTATTATTTTTTTTATTTCATCAACATTTGAAGTTTCATAAAATATCCATGGTAACGCAATATCTTTGGTGGTTATTTTTTTAAAGAGCATCTTTAGTGGAAAAACAATAAATCCTGTCACGACCATAACGCCCATAACGGACGTTTAAATGAATATTAAAAATGGTTAATATTATTTTAATAACTATGTTTTGCTATAAACAAATTTACTTTTATGACCATTATACAATAAAAAGGTCACTAAGCTTTTGGTATATTTTGTCTTTCCAGAAAAAAATAAAAAACTCAAAAAATTGAAAAAAGCCAATAAAATCTTTTTAAGTTTGTATAACTACGAAAAAACTTACCTGAGACCCGAAAAATCGTTATGTTTGTATAGAGGTGTGCTTCTTTTGTGTATAAAACATTCAAATATGACGATATTTTAATTTTTGAAATTGTTATGATAGAAATCATAAACGTGATGGTCAGGGACAAGCGGTACGGTCGTGAATTGTCTGGAATAATTTAAATCTTTCTAAGCAATCCTTCAATTATACTGTTAGTTATAATAAAAATATGTGTTTAAATTTAACTAAACTGTTCAATTTACAATTATATTAAAGTTATTGTCACAACCAAACACACTATAATCCATAAGGCTGGATTGGTCGTGAAAAAACCCGCGATGGTCGTGAAACGTTGGTCGTGAAATTACGTGTTATTTGGCTCTGTTCTGGCGGTAGCCCTGCACCTCATGTTCGAGGATACAAAGTGGACTTCTAGGTTAATCTAGCAATTGAAATATCTTATAAACAAAAATTAACACCATGTCTACTTCATCAAATGACCACGTACGGTCATGGACACACCAAAATTACAAAAAACACAATCTTTCCTTTATTAATCTTGTAATTCCTCCTTTCAACTCGAAACGACCGGCACTACAATCCTGACGTACACCCCGAACTAGTCTCTCAAACCAACTGACTCCATCAACGCCAGGCTTGCCACTGTCGTGCTCCAAAGTTGAAAATTTTTCCCAAATGGTCGTGACGCCAAATCGAGGGACAGACTTATTTTGTCATGGTAGTCAGTTTGCAATGACAATAAAATTATAATATGCTCCTTTTTTGTAAGTTTAATAACCATTGATGACATAAAAATATGGCTTTATATATTTCGGCATGAATAATTAGTCTAAAAACAGCGTGAAAGTTGGAAAATGTACCCTAGGGACACGTCATGGTCATGAATTTTGAGACTTTAAAAATACGAAAAAAATACCTAGAACCTATTAAAAACCAAATAAATGTGTGTAACATGTTGCCCCCGTCCCAAAAAATATTAAAATACATAATAATTAACTACAAATCCAGTATCTACGAAGTAAAAGGCCAGGGACATGAAAACGTACGTTTTTAAATTTTCACTCTGTAAATATTATTGGCTAAAGCAACAATTAATCTTAGATTGGACTGTATTTCCACCCTTCCATCCTAATTAATTATTATTCCAACAACTGATAGCTATGGCACTGTAATATATTAAGTTACTTAACACAATAGTTTAACAAGTTTTATCAATTTTTCAGCTAGAGTCAAAAAGACGGAAAGCAGAAGACTCAGTCAAGAAGGCTGATGTGGAGTATTACACTTACTGTATACGAGCAGAAAGAGCCCGGTAAAGTATAAGAAGAGTGAACCATTGCAGTATGAGGATCCTATTTCCTCAGTAGGATAGGAGGTACCTTCCAAATTAAAAACCAACATTCAAAAACTCCTCATGTTTCATAGAAATAAATACCGTACATGAATATTTTAGATAAAACTAGAGCTCGCCCTGTGGTCGAAAACTCAACCAAAATTAGGCTATGTATTTTACAAACTTCTCTATTTTCACCCCACGCTGTAAATAAAACATGTGATTGGAATTTCTTACATTTGTTTTGATTTTCTGTTTATATTTTTTTGTTATTTCATTACCAACATAGCAACCCATAAAGGCCCATGTTAACTTTTTTTAAATTACAAATTCATTTTCTGTGCTAATATTTGAGCCTATTTTAATTTATAAAGGGATTCTGCACATCTACAGGAAAATATCTTTCGTTTACTACCAACCACGTGTAATTCGGTCCAGTAGTAAGTTATGGTCAGGCTAGCTGTCATAAATTTTGAAAAGTTTTTTAGTATATAAGATAACAGATTTCATTACTCAATTCTGGACTAGGAAATCCATTTAACTTAATATGAATTAATATGAACAAACAAACTAATAGTGTTTCATTATTAGCCTTAATGAGGCTATCAGCTATTGATTCTGACTAGATCAGATAATTTTTGTGAGCAACACTAGCTATTCAAAGCATCCTTAATTCATACTCATTTCATAGGCTCACTCTAGTCTGTTTATCCATTTCAATCCCAACCACTGATTGGCCACTGAGAGATACATAATAAAATATTTCTTAAATTAAAATCTGCCACAGTTATGCAACTATACAGTCTGACAACTATTTATGCTAGCATAACTCACCAACACCCTTACAACTCAAAACTGTTCCTTTTCTACAAGGCAATCATAAAACCACTACAGAATTTTGCTTCCTTTGACCTACCATCCTCACTAAGTGCGACCGACAGAAATTCTTTTCATAAGAAATTATATTTTTGTGTTCTTTAGATAGAAGAGCAATATACGCACAATAGGCATAGTTAAACATATAAACCCGTAAAAAGCCTCCTGGATCAAAAGGTACAAATCTAGGACAAGCTGTTATTATTTTATAAATAACAAGAGATTGATACTTAATTGACATAGATTTATCCTATGTCCAACTGTGTTGTAATTTCTATCAATCAATAAAATACTCCTAGACGAAAGACTGTGAAACAACAAGATCTTTAAAAAAGCAAACTGATTTTATGTGTGTACTACATATAAAAGTAGTTTTTCCATATGGCTTGTTCTGTCATATGTCAGATTGTACTAGCACGTGCCAGCTTGTTCTAACACGTATCAGCATGTTCTAACTTGTATTGCGACTCTAGACTAGAGTGGGAGAGTGCAGTGCTGAGAGGCAGTCAGTGTTTCCAAACTCTGGAGGAAGAGAGACTACAGCAGCTCAAGGAGCTCACAGACACATACCTGCACCACTATAAGGAGGTCGGGCCTAAACTGACTCAGGTATGCACAGACCTAATCACCTTTAGTATTAGAGATATGATTCTTCTAAAGGACGGCCATTAATTGCGCTAACTGACCTAAGTCAGGTAGGTATTCCTGAATTTCGCCGACTACTCCAGGGAACCACCTAATACGTTTATTACAGGGGTGCCCATCCCCCCCTAGACTCATGACGCACCCCCCCCCCAATTGAGAAACAGCCCCCCCCATAAATGATGTACACAACAAATGAGAAACATTATTCCCCACCCAGCACTATTTGTAAAACTATAAAAGAAGTTTTATAATTTTTTTTAGATATTTAAAATTCAAACCCAGTTAATCTATATCAATAAAGTTATAGTTTTGTCCGTACATTGCTCAGAATTATACATATTTTGGGCTATTTATGTTTTATACATTGAAGAAGTTGAAACATGTCTTATCTCAATTTATGTCCGTCTGTCACGGCCCAGAAGGCATTTTATGCAGCCTACTCATGGCCTACTCTAAAGAAAACTAGAGTACCGATTATGATTCTAATGGTTTAATTGTATCCACAGGATTGGCGAGAGAGTCCTTATAGCCATTAAAATATGGCCTCACTATTTTTGAAATAAAATAACGGACGATCAAAAACACAATTTTGTGTGATTTTTCTAGTTTATTTTCTCCATGTTTACGTCATTAATTTATGAAATACTAATAATCTGTTAAGAGAACACGTCATATATGAAATTACAAACAGCTGTTTTGATAAAGATTCCTTTTCCTAGCTGTCACTGATATGTTTACATAAATGTTCTTTAACAATACTGTGTAGGCCTAACCATTTCCGATCACGTTTGTAAGCAAATCCAAAACCAAGTGAGATTAATAACCGTGTGGCTTTGGCTTACATAACGGGTTTGATTTATCACGAGTACTAATATGTAACTGTAAATTAAATTAAATAACTAGCCATCATCCAGGTCAGGAACCGGAGATTCTGTGTGTATCAAGTTGTACTTGAATTTTGATTACCGGGAAAAGACCGTGAATCAGTGTTGTACAGGACTGGAAAACTTATCTTTCTATATAAATAAAATTAGAGTTTTATAAGTCACCTCAATTTAAGGATTTTTTAATTGCCAGAATATCCATAACGAATTGTCAGCGTCTTTCTCGATATAACGATCCCCTCTCCCTCCCTTTAGAAACATCACAGCTCCTTTGATGAAAATGAAATTGAAACAACTGCTTGCGCCAACAATCGTCTGCTCCAATGGTTATACACTTCTGTTTGCTGTGCGCTATGTTACAACAGATTTCAGATACAACAGCTGGGGAATTATGACGATATTTGGCTTAGTACACTGTGATTGAGTGATAACCACATCGATCTCTATTAGAGATCGATGGATAACCATGGTAACTTTAGTAAGGCTGTGATTAGCCAATGAGTAGGCCTAAATATGGCGACTTGTTGAATTTGTGTGTGAATTGAAGAGAAACCTATTAATGAACAGAAGAACAAAGAAAGAGAATAACAAGATTGTTCTCGTTACATTCTTTTTTAAGAGTGTTTTAATTATATCTAAATATAATTTTACACTTTTTTATTACTTATCTATCAATTCCTATGCTGTGATACAGCACCTATCGGTAGCCTATCTGTCTATCATGATCAGTACCTTATAACACTTTCTAAAGGTTCCTTTAATATTTACGTTATTTATAGCAATGTAATGTTTGGCTAGTGATTAGTTGAGTTTGAGTTAGCTACAATTTTAAACGTTGCCGTTTGTACAACTGAACCAAGATAAATGATTTGAAATTTACAATAATAATGATTGTGCAATATTGAATTTCGTTTATAAAAATGTAAATCAAGCGTTTTAATGAGTTTGTCATCTGTTTTTATACTATATTGGATTAACCGTATATTTCATTCCCCCCTCTCCCTATTAACTCAGGTAATCGAGTATCTACACAATAGTGTAAAGTATTGTAGCCTATGCTACTTGCTACTTGATTGTATTTTAACGAGCTTTATGTCAAAAAAGCGTTCTGCTGTGCTAAGTCGCGGTGTAGCTGGACGTGTCTGTACCACGCGTTATCTTTTATCTATCACAGCAATTGAGCCATCCCGTGCACTCCCTCTCTTAGATCTCACGTCTTGCTAATCTTAAATAATAACTTTCTACACGAATCCTAAACTATCCTAAAATCCTATTTTAACTAATTTAATTCAATAATATAACTATTGTCATTAATTATCCACTTTCTATCTGGCGATTTCGTAATGTATTTTGGATTGTCGTCAAGTTGAACACTGTTGCAATTAACTTTAGCCCCCCCCATTTGATTTTTTTGAGCCCCCCCCCCCAAGAATTTCAATGACGCAGTCTGCGTCACGGCCCCCCCTTGTGGGCACCCCTGTTTATTAACTGCACCAAGTGGCAGGTACACTTAAGTGGAGTGTAATCATGTTTCAAGTGGAATACATCCTCATTTTTTTTGTCCTCATCAGGGACAGAAGTACTGTTAATACAAAATGCTTCTTACTTATAATGTCTTACAAGGTTTGTGTTTTGTGACAAAATACTGGTTTGCAGAATAAAGACCTGTGCAGTGCAATAGGGTTTGATGTATTATAAGCAAGATCTGGCCATGGTTTACAATTAACAGTTTTATACAGTAAACTAAGTGAACATTTATGACTTATCACCTTTTTCCCAACATGATGGATCACTAAAAATCTTTACTGATTATGACAATAACGTTATATCCTGTTCTATTCATGGTAAACAAATAATACAAGGGCTGTTTGTGAATTAGTGTCTCCATTGAACTATCGTTGTGACCCAGCCAATTAGCTCAATCTTTACTCTAGTTAGCGCTTTGTTATACACTTGATCTACTTCTATGCGACAATTAATCTTGTCAGTTTAGCTGAAAGTTATGTAAAGGAAAACCTACGCTCAATAATTAACCCAGACTCAGCGTGTGTATATGAGGGCACCAGGGAGAGGGTGGGCAGTGTGACCCTCCCTAGAGCAGGGAAGATATGAGTTCGGAGCTCATTGGAAACTGTAATTTACAAGGAACTGACCTAACTCTTGTTCCACAGAGTGCGGCGAGATTGGTAGAGCCAGTTTCGCAGATTAGTGTAGTGGCGGACCTGGAGACAGTGGTAACCCTGCGTGAGAATGGCCAGCCTGCGCCAGAACAGCTGTTACCTGACTTCTACGCTGAACACATAACACTGGCCATGAACAGAGAGCGTCGTAGACAGGTGAGTTGATATCTTCTGTTTAAAACTCTTTAAGCTCTTTAAACTCTACCAGCACAAAGCAGTAGTACAGCATCCACTTGCCACTGCTCTTAATGGTCTCACAGCCATCTTTTGACCTTTGATATGCTCACAATTTTTCATCATATAGTTATACGTGTATTGATGATACACATAACAACATTGGAAAGTCATGTTCTGTAAATACTAACTGGTCAGTTATGGGGTTAATCATTTGCCAAACACCTACAAATAATACATCATTCTATACAAATCCTCTATTTAGCAAATTGTCTCTCGTAGGCGTTGGTGAAGTTGCTGCACCTGATTAGACAAGACCTAGACAGAGAAAGGAGGGGGAAGCAAGGGGTGGAGAACCTGGCTCGAGCCCTTAAACAAACCCCAACCTTCGGCACAGACGACAGTCAGCAGAACGTTACGGAGAAACTGCACCATGTAAGTTACATCCTTATTCCTCTAAAAGTAATTGACAACACATACATTTGACCCCCACAAATGTAAGGTAATCAACTATTCCCCCAGTTTTTTTCAATAATCATTTTATGACATGAGAATAAATGGCATACATTTAAGGTACTTCACTATGATCTCTTATCACTTACACTATAACCTTTTATGAGCTGCTAAGTACTTGCCCAAAAAGGACACCTTTTTCAACATTCTGAAAATGGTATATTGCTAATCCTGACTAACAGGGACTGGACCTTGTGTGAATATGCCTACCAAATTGTTTGGACTAGCTGGAAATGTGAAAAAATTGCACCAGAAAATTAACACAATGTAATTTTATGACTGTAAATAGCATTGTATTGCTGCACCTGTGATCACAACATTGCCGTAGCCTCCTCCAGTAATTATCACCCGTAGTAACATAAAAACAATCATTGTCTCCTGCAGTCGCATTCTTCTCACTACCCATCACCCTTAAAAGAGAACCATAATGAATGGACCCTTTGCCAGGACTATTCCTAATTCTCTGGTTCCTTGGAAAATTTACTACAAATTCTTTGGACATTTCCCCGGTCATCAACATTTAACTACAATTGCCGGTTGATTGGGTTGATTCCATTTCCCGATTAGTTGGACACCCTTGTTAGTACGTTCAGAACAAATGGCAATGTTTTTAATTTAAATATAGTGAACTTTTCTTCCCAACTGGTGGTTCGCTGAATGTTCATATTAGCAAGCTCCAGTACTTGAACTGTTAATCCTAAAAACAAAGTTTGGTAATTTTTCTAGCATTGGCTAATTGGAAGTGGCAATGTTTAAACAAATCAGAATTGTCTTGTTGATTTGTCACCCATGTTGCAGATGAGGTCGATGTTGGCGTACCTCGAGGCAGCCAGATACAAAGTGCAGGGTGCGCTGGCGGAGATGGAGGGGAGGAACAAGGAGAGTCATCCCCTCTCTCCCCACATACACATCACCAGGGACAGACAGGGGCTGCAGCAGAGTATACTCAAGGTATGACCGTGATGTAATAGTTAAAAGTACACGATTACTTGCTTAACCAAACTGACAAATTTTAAATTCAGGCTGGTATGACTTCGACACACCAGAGTGTGTATATTAACTTGCCATGGGTACGGGGCGGGAAATGTCGCACTCCTCCCCATAACAACAACCTTGCTTCAGTGTAAGCTCAGCCTCACACGGGGAACGTTGTGTCCAATATCCGCTTAGTATGCCAGTTTTATACTTCAATCCAGTATAATTCGTTCCAGTATAATTCCGTATTTCCGTACTATCGATAAATCTCAGTTAAGCTATGAATTTGGTAATTTAAATGCTCCTCAGATAATCCGGCTCTTTCACTATTATGACTTATGGGGTTGGTCCTGTAGGTGATAGATTGGTGGTATTGTACTGTACCTCTATCTTTATTCTATTTTCTTTGTAACTGTGGAAAATCACACTAACCATTGTAACAGTAAGATAAATCGATGTGAGATTTGAAAGTGTGATGGTAATATAATGAACTGCAAGTCCTTTAATTCATATACCGTTGTGTGATGTCCAGGTTCCGTTGTGGGTGAGGAAGGAGTCAGTAGAGTTGACACCAGACAACCTAGACTGGACAGACAGGGGAACTGCAGACGGCAACTCTGTACAGCCTGACAGTGACTTTGGTAAGTAGTGGATTTCCAAACTTGTATGCAATTAGAGACAAGATGGGTTCCGGAAAAAATATATGATAGAAACAAAAAAAAATATAAACTTGGACAGGGAAGCATAGTGTAGAACCCTTATGGAATTCCCATTATGGGTGTACTAATTAACAATTCTTTCACTATACACCGTGTAAAAAGTACACTATAACGTCAATAACGAGTTCATTAATACCAAATTGTACTTTAAAAATGGTAACCTTGATAACAGCCCTAAATATCAGGGATTGTTCTAAAAAAATGTAACCTCTCTAATAAATTCATTCTTATTCTTATTCTTAATATCAGGAACAACTTTCCAAAATACAGAGGAGAACATGGATATGAGCTTCAATAACACAATGGCATAAAATTTACATAAAACCTCAAGAAAAAGTGTACTTTGATTTATAATAAATGTAAAACAATCTCTTGAGGGTCTTAATTTTTGCGGCAGAAGTTTTACTATAGTGTCGTGAAAATACATTGTCACATTCCTTAGATGATGGCCTACATTTCTTGTCTCAGATGAGTTCTCCAGCCAAGGCAGTGAGAGGGACTACCAGAGCAGTGTGATCAGTCAGTGTCAATACCCCGTGTTGAGTGAGCAGTCACAGTGCGCCGGGCGGTGCAAGGCACTCTACCACTATGCTGCCAACCTCTACGACGAACTTAACCTCAATCCAGGTGAGCAACAAACATTGGTAGGCGTCCACAATCGCTTTTTAAGGGCTTTCCAAGCTTTTCAATCACTGAGGAAATTAGAAATTTCATGTTTCTGAATATTGTGGTATCTGACTCCATGACTTATTTGAATAGGGTAAAAATAACAGTGACCATCTAAACAACTATAATTAAAACGATCTTGAAGAGAAACTGGTCAACTTGTGGTTTACCTAACAGTGAAGAACTCATGGTTCTTTTATTTTGGGCATGTTTTGGAATATATTCTTATGGGCTATGGGTATATTCTTTGTGAAATGGCAATCTACACTATGATTCAGTGTATAACTATTTACCTTTAAAGCATAATTGTGTTATACTCTTCAGGAGATGAGAATTTCCATCTAAATGGACTGTAAAAGGGGATAGAGTCACTAGTTTGCTTCATAGAACACACTAGTTATTAAATAGCTTCAAAATTGGCTTTATCATAAACTGACCCAGACCAATAAAGATATTTTTGATCTTGCTCTCCATACCTATATTACCAATCTTCTGGGTCTCAGCAAAAACTTCCAAGAAAATTATATACATTCTTCTGATGATGAAAGTACTACTTTGCGTCATTTATTGTTTCAGGAGATGTAATCAATATTCACGACAAGCAAGCTGATGGCTGGTGGCTCGGGGAACTCAATGGAGTGGTCGGAATATTCCCAGCCACTTACGTGGAAGAAATCAAGTAGCACTTTTGCTAACACAAATATACATAACATTCTATCTCTACAGGAAACGCATGTCCATTAGAGTAACATGTAGAATAACAACACTATGCAGCTAAATGAAGTTCCAGTATAAATTTGCCACTTTGAAAATCAGAATAAGTTTACGACATATTTTTACCCTGAATGCCCTAAAATTTTAGTAGTGTAAAATCAATGCCCTGTAATTGATGATTTATTCTGTTTCTGTTGGAAGATTTCTCTAATCCAAACTGAGTTAATATTTAAGTGATACCATAGACAATAGAGTAAATATAGACTGTCAAAGAAAGGTTTTGCGATCTGCCGCTAGAGCGTTATCGCCGTTCGATATTGGTTATCGGTATTCTATTCGGTGTCGACCACAACTACTCGCCAGCTGTTACCTGCACTACCACTCTTGCAAACGAAATGATAACTATATCGCTAGTGTCTTCTGCAATCGCGTCAAATTATGAACATCTTCAGCGGCCGTGTAGACATTATCGTCTTGCATTATCGCAGAAAAGACGTGATCATTTTTCCCGCGGTCACGAAAACGGCGTCTAGCACGGTCGCGGTTTAAGGACATCTCCCGCGGTCATGTAGACATCATCATCGTTTTGCGCCGTCACGGAATAACGTGATCGTTGTCTAGTGCGATCGAGATAAAATCATGAAATTTCCCGACTTTGATATCAAAATAAAGACTAAATCCCAACTTTTCAAGACCATTTTGAAATTCAATACTAATACCTGACTTTCCCGTTTTCCGCCATACAAGACACCCTGGTTAATTAGATTTTGACCTTGCAAATATAAAACAAAACCTTCCAATAAACCACTTCCTAAAATTATGGATTTATAAAGAAAAACTTCGAATCATTGTAATGAAACTACAAAAGTATAACAAATATACGTTTAAAATACAATAAAATATGGCATTAAAATTATTTTATTGATTAATATTTAAAAAGTCAGTAAACTCCAATTCCGGGGAATTCCTCCAAAGTTGGCAACACTACTCCCAACTACCAAGTTGTTATGGAAACGGTCGTTAGCGCTTGATGATGCAGCGGTGTGCGCCGTAACTACGCATTACCCCTACCGGTCGGCGCCGGAATATACGCTAACCGCAGCACAGCTGACAGTCTATATTTATTTCTTTTTGTCTATGGTGATACTACTTTGTTGGAATTTAATTCTATAAAAAAGCTCTTTTATCTGCTGAACACTCTTGTGAACTTCAATTCTCGTGTTGAAAGCTGCTGCTTCAACCTTTGTAAAGACAGAAACTAACTTAATCGACAGTAAAATGTAACTTGAGCTCAGACTGAAAGTTCCAGTCATTGTATAAAGTGCCTTGTATGTATATATAGTATTTAATTTATCCAAAGAGTTGTATTTTAACTTGTTTGAAAATAAATAATTGCTGTTTTGTAACTTTGGCAATTTTATTATTTTCCTAAACTCCTGAGAAATCACACCACTGAAGACTCTTAAGAAAACCAGTCAGTTGCTGTCTGGATTCCCAGAATACAGTCTTCAAGAGAAGCGGCAAACAGTGTTCAGACTTGTTGTTGATGATGTTCTTTGTCCCAGATCACTTCTTGAACATTAAAGGTCGATTCACACATATCAGTCCAGTCACAGTTCCGTTACAGTCCAGTCACAGTTGCATCCGCAATTTCTGGCCAATCTTTCAGTCATTTGGTTTCAGTCACTCTTCCGTCACTTTATTTACAGTGTTTTTACAGTAAAAAATGTTTAATTAAAACACACTATTCTATCAAATTTTCATCGTACGTCTTGTTGGTTGTTACAAACATTACTTAAAATATAAACTCGATAATTTAAATAAAAAAGTGCTATTTTCTAACCTCAAACACGTCCGTCAGGCGTCCGAACAATCCAAAAATATCGGTGAAAAGAAATCTAAAATTGACTGACTGACTGACTGATGCCGGCAGAGCGACTGTCGGAACTGCAACGGATGAGTGTAGATAGCGTAATAGAAAATCCATTAAAGAATATTTTTGTTAACTGTGACGTGGCTGAAGTGACTGGACTGTAACGTGACGTAACTGATGTGTGTGAATCGACCTTAAAATGGTATAAAATTACCTGATTCCGTCATAACCTGATTCCGTCTGTGATCCTAAATTTTTTGTAGTGAGCAGCTACCGGATCAAGGTCACAACCTCATCTTCAGGCTCTTGATGTCACTCTTGCGAGGTCGAGTTATAAAAAGACACAAAAGACACTAACATCATCATATTAAAACGTGACAGTGTTTTTTTATTTCACGATTCAGTTTTATTTTTAGCCTATATCAAATTGTCCAGGATTTCTTCTTCAGATTTTTCCATTGTAACAATTACATTAACCCAAGTTTCGTCTACAGCAATATGCCAAAGAATATCACCTACGTACAATCTCCAAGAAATGGTAAATACCCCCGTCGCAGCAAACCTGCATACTAAGCGAATTTCCATTCACCCGGCTTGATTTCTACTAAAATATTCCCTATAAATTTTCAGATTTATTTCCTATTTAAATAACATTAATTTTGGTGAGTAGTTAGGTTTGCTGCTACAGGAAGGATGTTGAGGTGTGTTTTTTCAATTGAAATATTGTTAGCTTAGTATGAAATAAGCCAAATTTGATTGAAATATATCCATAAACAAGCAAACTAGAACAGTTTATTTATTCTCCATAAGAATAACATGGGAATTTTAAATTTACAATTTCTTTAATTTTCTCCGTAGTCAATGAACATTAAAAAAAACTTCAATATACTTAATTATTTGTTTTTTTAAGCTCTTCAAAATGGTCTAGAGAGAAATTTAGAAATTTAAAGTTTTCAGGGTCAAAATTGAGAAAAATCCATTTTTACCCCATAAACCCCTGATCCCATGGTCCGATTATGCTGGTTCGCGAACTCGTTCGAATAAATGTAGGTTTACACGTTTGTACCAAATTTCATCAAAATCGGATCAATTTTGCTCGAGTTATCGCGCTAACGGACACATATATAAATATATATATATATATATATATATATGAATTTGAATGGATGGTGTTTTTGGCCTCTGGGGACCTCAAAACGAAAAAGTAAATCTGTCCCGGGTCTAGGTCTTACCATGAGACCTACGGTAATAGCTTATTCCCTATATGGGAAATTCGCTAAAAAGGCAGTAACCAACCCATACAATAGATATAAGTTAACTCCATAAGAAATAATTTTAAAAGTAACTGTGATATTAGGATTTTCCACTGATTTGGTAATAGAACATCATATTGCAAAACATGACACGATGCAGAAAAAAATCAATTTTAAAATCAGAAAAATCCATTGCAAATACTGTACTTCATTTTGACAAATTCAATAAATCACAATTTAAATATTAACAGCTGTTGCATTAAAAAGTAGTGTAGAATTATGCATACTATAGGTCGGCCGCTTAGAAAGCGACCTCCTCCAGCATTGGTTTAGCATTAGCGCGCAGGTCGTTTTCTTAGCGGCCAAACTATAGTGGTCGTCCTGTGGTCGAAACTCTACCAAAAATAATTAATGTACAGACTTCTCTATTTTCTCCCCACACTGTAAATAAATCATGTGATTGGGATTTCTTCCATTTGTTTTGATTTTCTGTTTACATTTTGTTGTTATTTCGTCACCATCATGGCAACCCAGTTGGTCCATGTTAATTTATTGAAGTTTTCAAATTCGTTTTTGTGCTTATTTTTTAGCCTATTTTAATTTATAAAGGGATTCTGCACATCTACAGGAAAATATCTTTCTGACAGTATGCGTAGATTTCCCCTGCGATGCACACGAGCTGAGAAAAAAGGTTTTAAAGAAACATGCTTGCCTATTAATATATAGATAGATGCTTGCCTATTAATATATAGATAGATGGTCGTAATATGTAAACAAATCTGAAGAGGCAACTTTAAAGGCTTCTGGGGCAGAGCCCCAAGGGAATTTACCTCTTTCCTCTTTTGATGGCTCATCCACACACCAAGACCTTACTTTAGAGACCCCGACCAAGTTTCTACGCCCAGCCGTTCTCTCAAATTAGCTGTGACAAAAACCCCGTTTTCCTCCATAAGAATAACATGGGATGGGAATTTAAAGGCCACGGAGGCAGAGCCCCAAGGGAATTCACCATGTTTCTAATTTTGATGGCTCATCTACAGACCAAGACCTTTCTTTAGACACCTCTACCGAGTTTCTACGCCCAGCCGTTCTCTCAAAATAGCTGTGACAAAGAAAAACAGTTTCAAATTAATATATAGATACTTATAAGGTTAACATGGGGAACTACAGGGCCACTGGGGCGGAGCCCGAACGGATTTTTTAGATAAGAATATGCCTATATCGGGAATGTGAGCTATCATCATGTCAACAAACAAACAAACAAACAAAAACACACACAAACTTTCACATCCTTATATATAATACGTGAAGGTGATTTCTACAAAACACTACTCCTCCGTTAATAATGGACGGATTTTTACAAACGACGTGTCAAAATAAAGTATTTTTTGTGTAGACACCCCCTTTCACCAATTCCTGTAATAAAAATCCTCTAGCTTTGCCCCACAGGCCATCAAAGTTGGAGTTTCTCCCATAAGATTAACATGGGGAAATCTAAATATTTGATTGGAAACTTTGTCCCCACTAATTTGAGAGAACGGTTGGGCGTAGAAACTCGGTAGAGGTGTCCAAAGAAAGGTCTTGGTCTGTAGATGAGTTATCAAAAGAAAAACTAAGCAAAATCCCTTAGGACTCCGCCCCAGAAGCCTTTAAAGATCCCTCCACAGAGTTGTTTACATTTTGGCCATGTGAATAATACTTTTTAATGAAACAGCTGTTCATTTTTTAATTGTATTTCAAACAACACACATTTATTAGCCCAGTCAATCTAGGTTTTTACCCGGAAATGCGAGATATAAAGCAAATTTTTTGCACAGATGTCCGTTATGGTATGTAAAATCACACCCTAAAAGTCCCCGCCCGTCCCCTGTTTGCTTCTTCCTGTATAAAGAAAAAAGGGGGGGAGGGGGCGCAAATTATTTAAACGCACATTGAACGCGATAGCTTGAGTAATTTTGGTCCGATTTTGATAAAATTTGGATTGAAGGTGAAAGGTGGGATAAACGTAAATGAGTTGCAAAATCAGCATAATCAGACCATGGGAACGGGTGTTTACGGGAGGTTTTATGAGGTAAAAATTGGGTTTTATGGGGTAAAAATTGAATTTTATCATTATTGATCCTCAAAACACAACAATTTCTAATTTCTCTTTGAACCATTTAAAAAAGCTTAAATGATCAAATATTTTAGTATAATGAAGTGTTTGTGTAAGGTTATTGGTTAGGAAGAAAATTAAAAAAATTAAAAATTCCCATGTTATTCTTAAGGAGAGTAAGCTGTTGTAGTTTACTTGTTTACGGATATATTTTGATCAAACTTGGAAAATCAACTTAATTTATAATAAGCTATTGATATTTTACTACAAACACACTTCATTACACTCCCTGTAGCAGCAAGCCTAGGTACCTGTTAGGCATAATGTTATTTCAATATATTTAATAAAAAATCCAATCGGGCAAATGGAAATTCACTTAATCTGCAGGTTTGCTGCGGCGGGGTATTTTCATACAAGGTTGCACTGTCCTAGATTTACTTTATCAATGGTTTTCGTCAACACTACACTCTATTTTTCCCCTTAAAATGTATATTTAAGCTGGGAATAGTATAAATAAACTCCAGAATAAACGTGGACAATGGTGTAAAAACATAACATAAGCATGGTATTCAATAAATAATATACAGGATACAGTAATATTAAAAAGTTTTACTATTACATTTTTAAGTACAATCAGAAAAGATTACCAACAAAAAATAATATTTGTACAAAATATTGGATTAACCACCCTTAAAATATGAAACCCAATTTTTGAAGAGTTACATATGCACAACAGTAGGTTAAGCAATTGTATTGAACAGTGTGTGTGTGTTTTATACCTATTATAACACTGAACATTCAACTATCAACGTATCTCTTCTTCCTCTAAATCAATTGTGTGTAGTGTGTTTTTGCAGTCTCTACCTTGGCAATGAGCACACATTGCCGAACAAGCTAATCCTGACCTTATGCAATCACACGATCGGGCACACACTTTCTTGCAATCACATGTAGCGAAATTCAAGAGTTTATCAGTTGCCGGTGGCAAAGACATAGATTGAGGTACAAGAACGCCGTCTTTTTCAAGTCAACCCCATGAACATGGATCCAGATCCTTCCCAAGCCATTTCTGCACTTGATAGTTAACCCGCAAAGTGTGTAAGCGTGCGGCATCCGAAGTAGGCGGTAAAACTGACAAATCAAAGCTTGAAGTAATTTTCTGTCTACCTATCAGTTTATTGAACA